CGTGAGGTCCGTTGGTTCGTTCCGTGGCTTAGTTGGTATAGCGTCTGGCACGGTATGCAAGAAGACGTCGGTTCGAATCCGACCGGATCGAAGGAATTTTTTCTGAGTGTTCGATCTTTGTATTAATAATTATAACAAACTAGTGGAGTAAATCCGGAAAAATAGTTTCATTTCCTAGTGGAGTAATTTCACAAAAAGAAATTAAATATCAATTCTATAAAAATTTAATTAATATAGGGAAATTTTAGCTATTACAAGTGACATGTTATTTCAAATTTGTTGTTTTTGGTAAGAAAAAAGATTTGACAGATTTCATATGTCATGAAGGTAGGGGCGTGTGCGAGTCTGATTCGCACTTGTTACTTTATATATATGTACATTAAAAAAACATCATTAGACACATTGTTCAATTTTTTGCTCGTTTTTTTATAACATAAAAACATCAATTGTAAGTAAATTACAAGTACAGACGTCAAATGAAGACGTCATCAAAAATAAGTATTTTTGTGCAGATATAATGCCTAAGAAATATAATTTCAGTACGTTTCCTTACCGGTATTTATATCTAAATTTAGTTTTTTTTGCAATTATGAATTTACTATTCTACGACGTTCGACACCAAAACTATTAGATTATAATTAGTGGTTGTATAGGATATTGGTTTTTTAGAGCGTTTACGCTCTTTATAGTCATAGAGAAATCATGATGCGTAAATGTTGGCTTAGCACAATACCTGACACAGCGTGACCCCATCCACTGAGGAGAAGTAGACATTGAACTGTCCAGTAAGCTTGGCCAAGCATTTAATGCCAGCATTAATGAAAACAAGAAATAGTTAACATTAGTTTCACGCGAAGTTACAGTGACTGTGTATTGGGAAAACTTGAGTGACACCGCTGCAATTTTTTTTAAATAATATTAAGTAACGGGACGAACAAGACGTGTGCCTGATGGTAAGCTACACGCCTGTCCATAACACTTACAGTGCCACTCAGAGCTTCACTTTAAATGGAAAAGATCTTAGAGGCACTGCCACTGCGCCCGTCACCCTGAGGCATAAGTTGACAAGTCCCATGTGCTTGTAGTTTCAACAGCGCCCTAACTTACCCTTCAAAACCGGAACACAGTAATGCTGACATTAGTGCTTAACGGCAGAAATAGGTAACGTGATAGTACTTCCCTGGACGAACTCTTTCACAAGGAGCTCTACTGCTACAAAAATATATTACATATTTACAACCGAGATATTAACCAACAACTAGGTACTTTTATTATCAGGGAAATAATAAATGTTTTGATAAACAAATAAAATTGCAGCGAACCGTGTCTCACTGTACTATACAAACTAAGCTGGGTTAATGAGTTACTGAAAAATTAAAATAGAATATACAGACAAAATTAATCACCACATTTAGCAAACAATGTAGAGATTGTTCAAACTACGATTGCACCAAAAAAACTGTACGAAATTCAATTTGAAATTTACCATAAGCTTTTTTACGTCGAAGCAACCAACTCGCATTGGGCCAGCGTGGTGGATCAGGGCCTAAACACTCGCTTCTCAGTCAAGTCTCATGTGCCTGTAATTGCACCAGCACCCTTCCCCTTAAAGACAGGAACAGTAATGCTGTTATTACTGCTTGGCGGCTAAAATAGGTAAGGTGGCAGTACTACCCTGGACGAACTCGTTCACAAGGAGCTCTACTGGGCAATTCGGAATTTAACTTCACATGGCTACTTATATTCGATGGCGATTTAAAGCTCTGAGTGGCATTGCAACTGTTATGGACAGGCATGTAGCTCACTATACACACATCAAAAAAAGTTTGCGATCAGTAGCATAAGCTCCTATAATTCTTTAAATTTAACTTTATCAAGAAAAAATCTATGTTGTATGCTTTCATTAAATAGGAATACCCTGTTTGAAATTAAAATATAAAACTATTTTTTATTATTTATTTTAAAAAATTGAGCCATTAATCATAATGTATAATAGTGATAGAAATTTCATAGAAAGAAAAAGACTGTTTAATTAAACTTAAACAACAATTTATTATTAAAAGGTGTGAATTCAATATAAAATAACTCCTCCCCTGGCTCGAATACATGCGAAGATCCTCCTGGGCATGCTGAGGATCAAGTTATCCAGCATTTCCTGGGGTAACCTATCCCATTCTTCAATAGCGGCTTCCCTGAGCTCTGGAACTGTCTGGGGACGTGCCTCAAGGTTCCATACTGCTCGTTTAAGAGCATCCCACGCGTGCTCTATTGGGTTTAAGTCGGGCGAGCCGGCAGGCCAGTCTAATCGTGTGATATCGTATTCTTGAAGAGCAGCATTGACTCGTTGAGCTCGATGTGCCGGCGCATTATCATCGACCAGTACAAATTGGTGCCCATGGTTTACTCGGAATGGTCTGACGATATCATCAATAGCAACTGCTTTGTACATGTCTGCTGTCATGAAGCCCCGATACGGGATCAAAGGCGTTCTAGCTCCAATCATAATGCCACCCCAAAAGGACACCGATTTTCCGCCTTGCTGAACTGTTCCAGTGGCAGTTCTTTGTCTTTCACGGTCGCCTGGTCTTGTCCAGACACGGACACGTCGGTTATCTGGATGAGTGCTGATTCGGGATTCGTCAACGAAGAGACAGTTTTGCCAAATGTTT